AATGACATAATAGGGAAAGAAGGGTTAATGCTCTCTTAAGCTCTCCCATGGTTGCTCCTACTATTTCCAAGCAATGTCCATAAAATTGCATGAATAATACACCAGAGATATATTTTAGAGTATGAAAATAAAAATGTTTATGCATCACCTACAATCTTGAATTGCACTAGGAGTTGAGCACAGCATGTTTTAGAAACTAGTGTTGCAGATTTAAGTTGAAAATAGCTGACTTGGGAAAGTGCTGAATGCCATTAATTGCTATGAGCAAGGCATAAACAAATTAGAGAGATTCAACGAGGGAGAAATGACTTCCAGGAGCAAGCCAGGGACTTATATCACACACATGCTTACATTGAGCAAACACAGAAAAGGGCTTCAGCAAACTCTGTTTTCCCTTTGTAAAGACTTCGGAAAGCCATTATCAACACTTCATCACCTCGATCCTCTAATCCTGTAAAACATCTGCTTCTTTAAATACGAGCTGCACACCAACTCTTCAACTAGTAAGTTAAAAATCACGGTTTTCTTTTCAGAAACAGGAACAATGGGGAACAGGATATGCTTTCAGTGATTTTACCAAAAATTCCAGTGTTAATTAAAGCCACATATTTAGTATGGATAAATGTAACAAATGGAGATTTTTTTTTTTTTTTTTTTTTTTTTCTGGGCAAACCATGCTCCTTCGTGAATTCAGATTAGTGATGCTGTGTTACTGGCTCGCTGTGGACATTGTGTTCTATTTGAAACAGCTGGGACAGCGAGGAAGACTGCATTTCCTACAGAAACTCAATTAGGCTGGATGGAAAAGAGGCTATGAAATGCTTCTGTTGTCTACAGAGAGTCGGGGAGAGTGTGCTGGATTCAGCTTTGAGTTGAATTCTAAATATAAATGTTGAGATCAGGCTTTGTGCAATTAGCTTGGTCAGCTTTGTATAATATTATATTATCGTATTTTTCTATTATATCATGCTCTTAAAATTGTGCACACTGGGCTGCTCAAACAACAGGTTCCTAGAAATTGGATCATTTTTATCTTGCTGGTTGTCACAGGGGTAAACAGCAGGAGAGGAGCTCTAGGCCTGGGCTGAATGAAAATCTGACTTGTCTACTTTCTGCTCACGCTTCTTTCCCCGCAATGGTGTGCTCATGAGAGATGTCACACTGCTTTCTTACATAGGAGCGATAACATGAGAGAAGCCAGATGCCAACATGGTCCTGCCTTTCCAACAGCTATTTGTCAACAGCAATACAGGACTCTACAAATGAAATGCTAGCAAAGAACCTCTTCCAAATTAAGACATGAACAAAATACTTCCCTGCACCTTGTCGTCAAAAGCACCTTTCAAAAGATTCAACATCTCTGTCCTAAACCTTCAGGAAAGTTGATTGGATAACCCTTTGTTGCATCTATCCCTTTTCTTCTTTACCATCACTGTTTACATGAAGGATTTAAATTGCTAAGGGTTTGTATATATTAGTAAAAGCTAATTTAATGTTCACTGGATGCTGGATTCAGAAAAATAACAAACAAGAACATTCTCCAACTAGTGTTCAGAAAAATAAGTCCCAAATAGAAGAGAGCTCCCCAAAGACTCACAAAACATTTTATAGTATGTAAGGGAAGAAAGACTAGAGTGTCAAGTTTTCCTTTTTCTAGGTAGAAATTTGCATTTTTTTAATACAGAATGTCAAAGGTAGATATTTTAGGATTTATGGGCCATACCATTCCCATTGTACAATCCAAGCCTGCAGTAGTGCACAAAAGCAACCCACGTAACATGTACCAAATGGGTGTGGCTGTATTCCAATAAAGCTTCTGAAGTGCCCTTGTCTATGTTAGGTTCAAGCAACTTGGAGAGGAATGGGTTTATTTTATCTTATACTTCCAGGTAAAAGTCACTGAGGGAAGTCAGGACAGGAACTCAAGAAGGAAAGGAACCTGGACACAGGAGCTGATACAGAGGCCATGGAGAAGTGCTGCTGACTGGCTTGCTCAGCCTTCTTTCTCATAGAAAGGACAACCAGCCCAGTGGTAGCCCCACTTACAATGGTCTGAGCCCTCCCCCATCAATTACTAATTAAGCTTACATCCTGAAGGCTTGCCAATAGCCTTATCTTAGGGAGCCATTTTCTCAGTTGAGGTTCCCTCCTTCTCTGATGACTCTAGCTTGTGTCAAGTTGACATAAGACTAAACAGGACAGACATTTTCTCAATTAAAGTTCCTTCTTCTCAACTGTATCAAGTTGACAAAACTCTAACTAGCACAGGCCTCTTCTCTCAGTCTTTTTAAATAATTTATTGCAGAAATGACTAGTGGTGTCCATAACTGGAAAGACAGTCTCACAAAACCATCAGGCTACTACATTATTTAAGGTAAGCACCGGCTGAATTTGGTGATAATCTATATATTCATCATCAGAATGAGTAAATATGTGAAAATGTCTACAGAATATTAATTCCGGAGGATTAATATGTGGGCCTCTGCTATACTTGTATCATCTATTTCTAAGTTTCTCAAGCTTATCTCCTCATACTTCCAAGTTTTACCACCTGATTGTGTCTTCAGCTGCAAATGAAACTTTACACAGAACTATGCAGTTACTTGCTGCACATGTTAAACATTCATGCCTTTGCCATATGCTATTATGAAAATTGCACTGATTTATAGCATTCTGACACCACTAGACAGAATAGATTCACGAGATAGCAAATCATGCTGCATGGAGAAATAATGTTTTAAATGTTTAATATGTATCTAGACCTCTGTTAAACTGGTTAAACTGCTATGTAATGGAGTCATGTAGTTGTGGAGAAAACTTTTAAAACACATTAAAAATATAGTCCTATATTTTGTGACTGTAAGCAGTATGAAGTCCAAACAGTCAGTAATAGCATAGTCATCAAGAACATAGAATATTGCACCTATATAGACTAAGTTTTAAATACTGAGTCAACTATTTAATCACTCTGAAAATTTACTATGTTCTGTTTACAGGCCAAATAATATTAATCTGACAGTTGCTGTAAGGAATAGGCATGACTTCACATAAAACATGGAGTACTTGTAACAGCCTGTTCTAACATACTCAATAATTAGCAATTATTACTAGCTCCTATTGCCTGCATATCATATTCTATTGAAGTAGAAATGGATAATTCAGAATATATAGGACATTACAGGAATTTTGGCAGATGAATTAAAATGTCATACAAGACAAAAAGCTTACCACTGTAGCTAATGAAACTAACTTTAAAATTGGTTAAAAACTAAAAGAATCACAAGAAACTCTCTTAACAGAGGAGGTATCAATAATGTAGCATAACCATGCTAAGGAGGATTTACTGAAATGAGCACCATTTCTCTATCCACTGGGTTTTCTATACAATTATATTAGGAGAAAAAAACATACCTGAGAAATAATTATACTTAGCTGCAATAAGTGAATACATACAGTGTAATTGATATTCATCAATATTAAAGTGTAAAATGGACACTTTTTTCTGTAATTGTAAGTACACATCTGACCATAGAAGGATTCTCTCTGAATCAACATTCTTTATAGATGTGTTGGGGGCTGTAATTTGGTCCTGCAGTAGTCATTTGGCAATGCCTGGAGATGTTTTTGGGTGTCACAATTTGGTGTGGATGTGCTCCTGGCACGAAGGCGGATGCTGAACTGATTAGGCTTTAAAGATATTGCCAATCATTTTATAATACATAATATAGCATCTGCAACAGAAATTATCTGGCCTGAATGTCACAATGTTCAAGTCAAGGTACTTGGTTCTGGGCTAAGATCATGCAGGGCCAAGTGGGTTCAACTGTCTGCTCTCAATGGATAGTGGGGCAGGATAGAGAATGGTACTCTTTCTGTCAATATGATCAAATGTTCTCATGCATCTATGTGCTGCTTACACATTAATGTATCAGAAATCTTAGTGTGGCATTTTCCCACCTGAAAGAGTAACTAGAAATGCCAAGGCTGCAGGCTAAATATAAATGGCAAAGGATACTGGACTTCAAAATTACAGAAGAGGACATTGCAGTCAGTCCTGAAGAGACCTGATAAGCTAGGGTCAGATGGAGGGGGAGGAGGTCCTCCCCTATCAGTGGACTTGGAAAGGGGCAGGGAGGAGATGAGGGAGAGAATGGGGGGGGGGGGCTACGGCTGGGACACAAAGTAAATAACCTGTGATTAATATAAAAAAATAAAAGTATTATAAAAAATTACTTCAGTGCTAAGAGCCACTTGTCTTCTTTCTTTGTTTTTATTAAACTTTCATTTTTTGCATTAGTTATATTTTATTCACTTTGTATCCCACCTGTAGTCCCCTCCCTCATTCCTTCCCAAAGCTGCCCTTTCTCCCACATCTCCTCCCATGCCTCTCTCTAAGTCCACTGATAGGGGAGGTCCTCCTCCCCTTCCATCTGACCCTAGCTTATCAGGTCTCCTCAGGACTGACTGCAATGTCCTCCTCTGTAGCCTGGCAAGGCTGCTTCTCCCCCGGGGGGGGGAGGGGGGTGGTCAAAGAGCCAGCCACTGAGTTCATGTCAGAGACAGTCCATGTTCCCCTTCCTAGGGAACTCACTTGGATACTGAGCTGCCTTGGGCTACACCTGAGCAGGGGTTCTAGGTTATATCATGAATGGATTTTGGTTATCTTCTAACAAAAGAGGGCAATCATTTATAGTATCTTTGACCAACCAACTGACCAACGTTTTCCTGGCTCGAGAACTCTTGAGTAGCATCAATTTCCACAGAGAGATACATGCTATCATAACAATGGCATGGATTTAAGGATTAAAAAGCTAAAAGTGCAATCTTTACAAAGGCTTACAGAATTAAAAAAGTATTTTGTATATCAGGGGGAATCTTTTCTTTCCCAAGTACCCTGACACAAACAATGCCATGGCTGTTTATCAGGTTATGGACTTAAAGATGATTAATGATCCAAGACCCCCTCCAAAGGAAAAAAAAAAGTATATGAAGAACATTACTTTAAAGTTCTTGATTCCGTACTTGGTATCATCTCCACACTGTTGAAAATCTCTCTGAATTCTGTATTTAGAGTATCTGACATCAGTTTTCTCAGGTAAACTGGAAGAATCCTGGAAAAACAACAAAGGGTTTGAAATTGGTGGATGAAAGAAAAATCAGTGCTTGAAATTAGAGTAAGAAAATACTGATAAATGGGAAAGTAACTGCAATCAGCATTTAGAAAGATACATAGAGGAAAAGCAAACAGAGAAAAGGGACACACTGTACTTGGCCACAGCAATAAGATGGGTATCATACACTTAGAGAAAACTGTCCCATTTCAGCTGCTAACAACTACCAATTGCTCCACAGCTGGGGGAGGGGCAAGGATTGCATACAATTTGAAATTTAAGTTAATTAATCTTCATAACCACACAAATTCAGAGAGCAAAGAAATTAAGAAAGCAAGATGTTCAAGGCTTTCTATTTAATTTCTTCACTCCATTTTCAGGGGAAAGAAGGAACATGGCAATTAGCTAGGAGAGCCAATTATTTAGGAATTTAGTATTTGGGGGACAATTTAAAAGAAAATGAAGGTTAATGATTTTGATGTGTACAATTATCTATGGTAGGTAGAGTCTGAAATACTCTTAAAGAACCTTCATTGCACTGACGGTTCAAGTGGGAAGGAGAATTGAAATTCCAGTTCCAAGCTTTCCATTTTCTTTTTTTTTAATTTAATTTATTTTTTATTTTTATAATTTATTCATTACATACCTTGATTGAAGTCCCCTCCCTCAAGTCCTCCCAGTACCAACCATTTTCCCTCTTTCCCTCTGTCCTCTTTCCCTTAGTCTATTGAATGAGGGAGTTCTCCTCCTCTGCCATCTGCCCATAGCTTATCAAGTATCATCAGGACTGCCTGGATCCTCTTCCTCTGTGGCCTGGCAAGGATGCATCTCCAGGGGCAAGTGATCAAAGAGCAGGAAGCCAAGATCATATCAGAGGCAGCCCCTGCTCTCTTTACTTGGGGACCCACATGGAGACTGAGCTGCCAATTGGCCACATCTAAGCAGGGGTCTAGGTCCTCCCCAGGCATGGTCTTTTGTTGGTGCATCAGTCTCTGCAGAACCCCCTGGGCTCAGGTTTTTTTAGCTTTGTTGGTTTCCTTTTAGGGATCCTGTCCCCTCCGCGTCTTACAAGCTTTTCATTTTCATGAGGAAAACAGAGAAAAGAAAAGAAAAGAAAAGAAAAGAAAAGGAAAGGAAAGGAAAGGAAAGGAAAGGAAAGGAAAGGAAAGGAA